CCCCTGTAAAATCAGGATGGTAGATATCTTACAGGGTAATTAGATTCAAAAACATAGAGAACCCCTCTAGGCAAAAGCTTAAGTTACAAAAAAGATACACAGACAGAAATAGTTATTCTATTCAGCACAATGCTTTTCTCAGCCATTTAAAGAAATCATAATCTAACACATACCTAGCTAGATTACTTACTAAAAGTTCTAAGACTCCATTCCTGGTCTGTCCCTAGCAAAGAGCAGCACACAGACAGACACAGACCCTTTGTTCCTCTCCCTCGTCCCAGCTTTTGAAAGTATCTTGTCTCCTCATTGGTCATTTTGGTCAGGTGCCAGCGAGGTTACCTTTAGCTTCTTAACCCTTTACAGGTGAGAGGAGCTTTCCCCTGGCCAGGAGGGATTTCAAAGGGGTTTACCCTTCCCTTTATATTTATGACACACAAACACCACACATCTGCCCCTGCCAGCAGCTGTGTTTCTAGTGCAAAGGAGAACAGGAGGATCCAAACATTAATGATTTGCTCTTTGTTGCAGGAGCTGAGAGGCAAGCTCAGCTGTCAGAACTTCCCAGAGCTTTGAAAGGGGAAGGGTGCATGCCTGCAGGGCATCTGAGTTCAAAACAGTGAGCAGAGCAGTCACACCAGGCATTGTGGGATACTAGGGGAGGCCAGTTATGGTGATATAATGAACAGCAGCATCTACACTGACACTTTGTCGCTTTAAGTTTGCCACAGAAAGCTTTATGCCTCTTGTCAAGGTGGTTTTTATTTTGTTGCTGAAACGGAAGAGTTTTGTCGCCAAAAGTGGCATTGCACTGTATCCACCTCCACTGTTTCATTGCCAAAAGCTGCCTTTTGGTGACAAAACTCTGCAGTGTAGACAAGGCCTAAATGGTGCTGATGCTATGTATTTCACTGATTCTTTTGGCAGAGCTGGGCATGAGTCTGGAACGAAACTTCCCCAAGGTTCGGGTATGTTCAGATCTGGAATTTTGTATGTTCTACAACCTGGTTTTAACTCTGACCATTGATGGAGGCTATAGAAAGCTTTCCAAAGTTATCTTAGCAAACAGGGGACTATGACAAAAAAGACTATTTGTCCAAGGACTATTTTTGGTTTTCTAATCAAGCCTTCAAAATGCCCTTGAAATGTCTGAATTACCCCTTAGCACACACAAAAAATAATGTTTTAAAATGCATTGTCTTTATATTGCAAATGTTGCCATCTCCTGACCCTACATTAATTTTCTTCCTCTCTGTGTCTGGCTGCACTGTAGCATTTTGGTCCTTTTCAGAATCATATCTCTAGCAACAATTTTTTTCCAGTGGGAGTTTCCCATCATATAAGAAATATTAATGCGCTTTAAAGTCATGATATAAGGCATGCTGTTAGGGTTGATAATTACAAGCAGGATACTTGCTGAAAGTGATTTGATTCATATTGTATGTGCCTGTCTGTGGAGCTCTCAAATGCCACAGATTTGAATACAAAGACACTGCTATTTCGTCTGTGAGCAAATGGCAAGGAGATAAGCAGCTGGAGATCAGAGCACTGCACTATTCTCACTGCTGCTTCCAGCAAGATGAGTACAGACAACACCTATCATAGCTAAAATGAAGCATACAGCCCTTCTGGAACTAAAGAAAAAAAAGCAGCAAGTATATTTGTGGAGGGAATTAGGATTCTATGGGCGGTATTTGTATGATGTTTGCAGAGACTATAAAACATGTTCTTGTCATAGCAGCACAGGCCTGGCTTCTGTTCGGGGCAATGTCATGAACTTTTGGTGTGACCCTGGGTAAAACTTGAGTCATTCAGGCTGATAGCTTGCAATCCTGCTCATATTGACTTTAATAGTGGAGGATCAGGCTGAGGTGGCATTTCGAGATCCTTGAGTAGGTGCTACCAAACCCCTAGTCATTGCTACTATCACTAGCTATTGAATCAAATGTGATTTTAAAATGGACTTAAATAAAAGGAATTTATTTATTGTTTTGCAACAATATTTGTGGTGAACCTTTGGTTTAACTGGGCATTGGGCTGAGTCAAATTCAGCCCAAGATCAAAGTTCAGCAAAAACAAAAGTCAACAAACTGTAAATCTCAGCAAGCAGAAGAGTGTACATGAAAACTCAAAGGCTGGGACCACTCTGAGGGAAATCTCCTTCTATTGCTCTAGTCCTGGTCCTGGCAACGGTGGGAGCACTGGAGTAGAAATGCTGCCGGTGTTATCATCACTATGTCACCAAAACTCACGTAGAGCTCCTACCCTTGCTAGCACCAGCAAAGTCGCAACAGTAGTTGAGCACAACTAAGCGATTTCCCTGAAATCCTCAGTGCAGACAAGGTCACAGCACTGTGCATCAGGGAACAGAACTGAAACAAGAAGGATGATCTCACCATCAGCTGGCTGCGTGCAAAGCCACAACAATAGCCCAATCCCAGGTGTCTGCCCCCTCTGTATCTAGGCATGGCCACACAAGGACTGAAGAGGCAAATGGAAGACAAAAGGAACTCCAGTCATTGATGAGCAAACAAGGGATTTGTTTTACCCCAGGCTGTTGTTTTAAATTCAAGCCCCTGCATAGGTAGGTAATGGGGAAGACGGCCGAAGGCTCCACCTCACGCAAAGGACAGCCATAGTGTGGCTGAAGAGCGGAGACCACACTCCATCCTAGTGCCTCTACTGGCATTGGCTGCCTGAAAGGGAGCAGGGCGAAGGAGGGGCAAGTGTGGAAGATGGAGCATAGCATGCCCTCTCCAAGGGTGATGTAAATGCTACACTGGTGTATGCTGCTGGGGAGTCCCCACAAGGATTCTTACCCCCCTGGCACACATTGCATCTCCCTCCAAGATGCCCATGCAAGCATCCAGGTCATACTCTAGGCCAGCAGCATTAAATCAAGATGTAAGCAACATGCCCCCAGGGGTCAGTGAGGATGGAACATGGTCTCTGCTCTTGAGTCCTTATGCTCTACCTGCCCCCTTCTGGAATTCTAATGTATTGGGTGACACCAAATACCATGAATCAACAGGAACTCCGGTACTTGAGGGAGTTAGGTGACCAGCTCCCACTGAATGCCAAAGGGAAGTGGGTACTTAAGTCTCCTAAGGCCCCTTTGAGAATTCCAGCCTCAATTCTCAAGAGACAAAATCCACATTGGCTTCAGTTTTCAACAGATGAGCGATGCCCACAAGCAGCAAGAGAGAGAACTTTGGAATTATAGATAGGTAGGTGATCCTATACATATACATTAAGGCCCTGATCCTACTGCTACTGAAGTCAAAGGCACAGAACTCCCAATAACTTTAGTGGTTCAGAATCAAGGCCTACAGGCCCAATCCTGTTTCTATTGAAGTTAATAGAAGTTTAGACGTGAGTGTTGTTATTATTGTGTTGTGGTGGCACCCAGATATCTTAATCAGGACCCCACTGTGCTAGTCACTGTACCCACAATTAATACAAAAAGACAAAGAGCGTACAGTCAAATCATATGACAAGGGAGGTGGATCAAACAGGCAGTGAGGAAGGGAGAATGACAAGGTAACAGTAACACAGTTATGTTGGGTATAAACCCACGGCCTCAGCACACCAATTATCTAGCCTGGCAAAACTGTGGGAGCAGGAGCAGACTTCAAGTGCTAAAACAGGCAAAGTTTGTAATTTGAAAATAGATGGACTGAATCCTTATCTGGTGTAAATTGTCATAGTTCTGATTTGCATGAGCTGAATATCTGCCCCAAGGTTGTTGGTTTTTTATGTACCTGAAAAATGTGAGGAGCAGCCCTAATTTGTACGTGAAGATTCCATAGTCTGATTTAACAGTTCTTAACACACATATCTATACCACAAGTAAAACCACGTTGTGTTTAGGGACACCTTTTTCTAACACACATTTTATTTCTCATGCGGAATGGACACTGTCACTATGTTAGAATTAATAACAAAGGTCTTGACCATGAAGGCTGGATTCTGAACGAGACCAAGCAAGACAGCAAATTGGATTTGGACTTTGACCTTCCTCACCCCCTACAAAAACATATGCTTTCTCTGAATTACTGTTAGGAGCAAGGAAGCATTTAATTTTTCTGCAAAGCCAAACAAAGGGAACACTTTGTAGATGTTGCTCTGGGTGCCAGATTTTCTTATTTTTATGCACTTCTAATTTAATTTATTTAAATAATAAATATTATTTTTTCTGATGGTTTTAACCTGCCAACTGCAAGTGTTCTGCCAGCTACAATATCGCCACTGAATAAATGTGAGTTGCCAAATTTGCATAGCAAAATCACAGTTTTCAGTAGCATCTCCTGCCCTCCATTTAGCTAAGAAGAAAGCAATAGTGCTAAAAAGGTATTTTAGGAGAATTTCCTGCTCAAAAGAAAAAGATAACTTAGCAAATAATACCAGCATCCTTTGGAATAGGTAGAAGAGACTTTCTTTTAACCTGCATGGTATCCTAAATATGGGTAAACAGACTTCAGAGTTGAGCTAACTTTGCAGAACATCCCAGAGGAGCTGTTACAATACTGTATTGTAACAGCCCTTCTGTTGTCAACAAGATATCACACACACCAGCGTATTTATGAATTGCCAAGGCAAAGACCAACACAATGAGACAATCTTCCAATTAATTCAACTAACTGTAAGGCCTACCAATATTGACAGAGTCCCTTTAAGTGACTGGTTCCTCACAAATGCTATTAAATACAAATGTAATTGTAACATGGTGTAAGTAATCTGAAAATTAAAGGGTTTGGTTTCCATGTGAATAGTTAAATAATAAGATGTGATTGTAATTATTCCTTGTGAATGAAAGCTGTTCTGTTCTCTTCTGTAAATTCCCCCAAATCTGCAAAAATGTAATCTTGCAATCCCTACTGAAGAGGCAAATGATTTTCTAAAAGAGATACTTGCTTGAAGAAAGCTTACATAAATATGACATTTAAAGTGTTCCCAGAGAAAACCTGAAGAATTAACACTTTGCTAAACTTTTTTTTTTAAAGGTATAAACTGTGAGCTGGAAATTGACGAGTGTTTGTCACAGCCTTGTCTAAATGGTGCAACCTGTCATGATACTTTGGGTAGCTATTTCTGTTCCTGTGCACTTGGATTCCTAGGTGAACTCTGTGAAATCAACATTGATGAGTGTGCCAGTCAGCCATGCCTCAATGGAGGGCAGTGTATAGATGATATCAATAGGTATGTATCCTAGATATAGGGTAACTTATACACAAGAAGGACCGATGCTCTGTAACTTGAACACTAATAGGTTGAAATAACATCTGGCTAGCTGAGTTGTCAAATTGTTGATTTCATTTACTAAAAGAGGACCCAATCCTGCACTGTCCTGAGTGCAAGTTTGGGTGCATTAAGAAATGCAAGATTGGGCCCAGAGCTGGTAAACCAATGGGAGTCTGCTGCAAAGACTGATTGCTAGGTAGACTCCTCATATTTGTAACTTTACAAAGTGCTATTTAGTCAGCGCTGCACAACTATTATTTAAAGGTGAATGCTGCACCATTTTGATGAAACAAATCTTGAAAATCATATTAATCTGCCAAAACTTCAGTTTCTTAATCAAGATGAGGACATGTACAAAATATAACATGTTGGCATTGTTCAGCTGTCCACTTTGAAAGAATAGAAACATTAAAGAAAAGTGAAAGACAGGGTAATAGTAACCATAATAATAGACATCACTAGAAAATGTGCAAGACATTTTGCAGATATATAAGGCAACAGATCCTTGACCCAAAGAGCCTACAGTCTGCCTAGATAAAGGACAGGAAAAAATAAGGAAAAGGGACATGACTTACAAGCAAGTTCCTTTTGCTGAAATTAAATGATCCTACAAGGAGATTCAAGTGCAACCCAGGCAGGCCAAAAACCAGGTCTCGGCTCTTTAATGATAGCATTGCATACTGTACATGTGATTCCAAAAGAGGGGAAACTGTGCAAAAGTAAAGTCTATACTATAGAAGTTAGGCTGGAAAGATTCAGTTAGTTCAGCTAGGTAATTCCTCTGTCAGTACTGGATTGTTCCCTACCATGTGAATTCCAATTCTTAAGGGGCTATTTTGAAGGTACCAGTTATAAAGAAATCCATCAGAAGAGCCATGTCATCAAGAGCCTGGGCTTGACTTTAATTCACAAGAGGAGAAAGATCATATTCCAGCAAAGAACTTTTGCACCACATTGCAACATTACGCTAACCTTGTAGAATTCCCTTTCTGTAGTCCTGAATGACTCTGAGCAATACAAAGCAATTCTCGATTTTCCAGTGCAGTTCAAGCATAGTGGAGTGAGAGAAAGAGGTCGCCTTGCATCTGACACCCACTCAGCAGAATCATTTAGAAAGCCTGAGACCTTTTGAGGGCACACACATATTGTGAGCAGCAATAATACTCATTCTAGCCAGACCAGATCACACTCATTTACCTACTGGAGACCAAAACTGTGGCACATGTAGGAATGCTTTGAAGTGACTGATTATACTGCAGTGTTTCTGGAGGTCAATTTGGTAATCATAATGAAAAAGGATCTGCACCCTAATTACATGAAAAAGGGGCTTGGACAGCAGAGCAAATCTGAAATATGAAGATAGTTAGCCAGTCATTTTCTGCCATCCCTCATCTTATTAAGATGTTTGAGTTAGAAGAAAGCTTTTATTCGTCACATCCTCATTTCTACTTTCTACCTCATCCTGCAGTGAAGTTATAATCCTTTGATGGGACAATCTGCTGCTATGAACATGAGTGTGAAGTCACATATTTAGCATTATGAGCTATTTATTCAAACACTAGGCCAAATTCTGCCCTAATCTTCAGTCCTGAAGCCCTATTGCTTTCAATGAGGTTACATGGGTGTAACATAGGGCACACTTGACACACTGGGCCCAACTCTCTTCTGAAACCAGTTTTAAATTTTACATTGACATCAGTAGAGCGTCTGCTAATTTACACTGGTACCTAACCTGCACCCACAAAATACCAATATGTGTACACAAAAATTATAGTTGTGTGTGCTCAAAGGACCTGATCCAAAGCCCATTGAAAGCAATGGAAATACTTTCAGAGGGATTTGGGTCAGGCCTAAAATAAGCACTGCTATGGACAAGTGGCTATTTTGCACATTGTGAGATCTGAAGCAGGGTGCCTCCAGAAAGATCGGTCTGGTGGCCTGTTTAAGCGTACACCAGTGAAATCACAGCCCTCTGCACTAGGAGGTATGGGTGCGGAATTTAGAGTCTCACTGGGCTTTCTATCCACCCTGCCCTCCTTTTATTAATTATGCAAACCAAATCCTATATACAAGTTAACCTCAAGGATTCCCTAGCAAATCATTGCAATGTGTAACAATTGCGTGTACATGAGAAATGGGTACATATGCAGATTTTGCAGTGCAAGCAACGCTATTTGAAAATTCACTGTGACTTCATTTCTGGGTCAAGGGAGAAGAGAGGATGGGCTAAACACAGATCTTCACCAAGCAGAAAATGTATCAAGGAAACATATGAAAAACTAACAAAAGAAATGACATTTTTCTGTTCTGAGAACACTTTTAAGAGTTCCTCTCAGGCTGAAAAATTATATAATTGATCAGAGAAGACCTTCTCACCTCACATTTGACTTCCCAAATTCCATACACACTGGACCAAATTCATCCATGGTCTAAGTCCACATGCCCATTGGTTTTAGCGGTGTTACACACATTACGAATGAATTTTCCCCATTGTGAATTTTTTTCCCTACCATCCAAAGAAATACTGTAGAATGTTAATACTATAGTAGAAATGTTGCATTATGCTCTGGTGTTCAACAGCACTACTTGCTTCTCCAGAATAAGGCTTTGGAGTTAAACCCTGACATCAGAAAAGAAGTGTAGTCTTTTTATCTCAAGGCTAAAGATGTCATGTTCAGTCAGAAGTCTTCATGGTTTTAATTGCACAAAAGCCAAGGGATTTTTTTTCAAAATAAAGGAAATTTAATATAGTAGCTGAATTAATTTACTTTCTGATGACATACACAGATCCTCTGTTCTTACTAGATAAAGATGAAATGCAAATCACCCCAACAAGCATATTATAACTCAGCCATTTTGCAGAGGCCTGTCGTTTTGTATGACATGTGTTGCATTAGGTGATTGGATCATGCCAGAAACATAGGAGGTATGACATATCACGGTGCGATTACAAGATACTGTGTGTAATGTGACACAGTTGGCATTTCTGAAATCAGCACAATGGATTAAAAAGCAGGCACTATTGATTGCCTGCAAATAGTTCACTACTGCACATATTCAGATCTCATCTTCAAGCACAAGCTACTTTATTTCTGAATAGAAAACAATAGCACTGTTGCCAAGTTAAAGAGATATTAGTATTATTTCTCTTACAATATCACACAGAGGCCTCATTGTAAGAAGCAGTCCCTGCCCTGAAGAGCTTATAGCTTAAATAGACCAAGCATACACAGGCAAGTATAAGAAAGGAAGCATCGTTATCTACATTTTATAAATGGGGAACTGAGGCACCAAGACTTGCCCAAGGTTACACAGGAAGTCTGTGGTAAATCTAGGGATTGAACCCAGATCTCCTGAGTCCCAGTCCAGTTCCTTAGCCAGAAGACCCAAGGCTGGGAAAACAACCCTTGTTGAAATTGTTATGAGTGTGTCATTTAGGCTTGCAAGGCATTGTGCTGTTACATAATAATAAGTACTATTATTATTTATTTCCCATGGTGCCCACAATGTGCTAGGTGCTGTACAAACACAAGAGGAGGCACAGTGCCTGCCCTGATCTTTCAACTTTAAAAAAGCGTTTTCATTTTAAATGGGTCATCTCAGCACAGGATGCTTTAGAAAATGTTTCCCCTGTAAAAGTACTTCAGTCCAAAGATCATATATGAGTCATCATTATGACTTCTAGTTGGCCTCACTGTCAGCCTTTTGTATTGTAGGTATAGCTGCAACTGTACCAGTAGTGGATTTACGGGCCTGAACTGTGAAATCTTAATTTCCTTATGCCAGTCACAACCATGCCACAATAATGCTACCTGTGAGGACAGCGCTGAGAATTATACATGCCACTGTTGGCCAGGTAAGCTCTGTATTCTCTTACAAGCATTCATAGAATATCACAGTTGGAAGGGACCTCAGGAGGTCATCTAGTCCAACCCCCTGCTCAAAGCAGACCAATCCCCAACTAAATCATCCCAGCCAGGGCTTTGTCAAGCCTGACCTTAAAAACCTCAGAGGAAGACGATTCAACCACCTCTGTAGGTAACACATTCCAACGTTTCACCACGCTCCTAGTGAAAAAGTTTTTCCTAATATCCAACCTAAACCTCCCGCACTGCAACTTGAGACCATTACTCCTTGTTCTGTCATCTTCTATCACTGAGAAAAGTCCAGATCCATCCTCTGTGGAACCCCCTTTCAGGTAGTTGAAAGCAGCTATCGGGATCCCCCCTCATTCTTCTGTTCCGTAGACTAAACTATCCCAGTTCCCTCAGCCTCGCCTCATGAGTCATGTATTCCAGTTCCCTAATCATTTTTGTTGCCCTCCGCTGGATGCTTTCCAATTTTTCATCATCCTTCTTGTAGTGTGGGGCCCAAAACTGGACAAAGAACTCCAGATGAGGCCTCACCAATGTCGAATAGAGGGGAACGATCACATTCTTCAATCTGCTGGCAATGCCCCTACTTATATATCCCAAAATGCCATTGGCCTTCTTGGCAACAACAGCACACTGTTGACTCATATCCAGCTTCTCGTCCATTGTAACCCCAAGGTCCTTTTCTGCAGAACTGCTGCCTAGCCATTCAGTCCCTAGTCTGTAGCGGTGCATGGGATTCTTCCGTCCTAAGTGCAGGACTCTGCACTTGTCTTTGTTGAACCTCATCAGATTTCTTTTGGCCCAATCCTCTAATTTGTCTAGGTCCCTCTGTATCCTATCCCTACCCTCCAGTGTATCTACCACTCCTCCCAGTTTAGTGTCATCTGCAAACTTACTGAGGGTTCTGTCCACACCATCCTCCAGATCATTAATGAAGATATTGAACAAAACTGGCCAGAGGACCGACACTTGGGGCACTCCGCTTGATATCAGCTACCAACTAGACATGGAGCCATTGATCACTACCCGTTGAGCCTGACGATCTAGCCAGCTTTCTATCCACCTTATAGTCCATTCATCCAGCCCATACTTCTTTAATTTGCTGGCAAGAATACTGTGGTACACCGTATCAAAAGCTTTGCTAAAGTCAAGGAATAACACGTCCACTGTTTTCCCCTCATGTACAGAGCCAGTTATCTCATCATAGAAGGCAATTAGATTAGTCAGGCATGACTTGCCCTTGGTGAATCCATGCTGACTGTTCCTGATCACTTTCCTCCCCTCTAAGTGCTTCAGAATTGATTCCTTGAGGACATGCTCCATGATTTTTTCAGGGACTGAGGCTGACTAGCCTGTAGTTCCCCGGACCCTCCTCCTTCTCTTTTTAAAAGATGGGCACTGCATTAGCCTTTTTCCAGTCATCTGGGACCTCCCCTGATCACCATGAGTTTTCAGAGATAATGGCTAATGGCTCTGCAATCGCATCCACTAACTCCTTTAGCACCCTCAGATGCAGCGCATCCGGCCCCATGGACTTGTGCTCATCCAGACTTTCTAAATAGTCCTGAACAATTCTTTCTCCACAGAGGGCTGGTCACCTCCTCCCCATGCTGTGCTGCCCAGTGCAGTAGTCTGAGAGCTGACCTTGATCGTGAATACAGAGGCAAAAAAATCATTGAGTACATTAGCTTTTTCCATATCCTCTGTCACTAGGTTGCCTCCCTCATTCAGTAAGAGGCTCACACTTTCCTTGACTTTCTTCTTGTTGTTAACATACCTGAAGAAACTCTTCTTGTTACTTTTAACGTCTCTTGCTAGCTGCAACTCCAAGTGTGATTTGGCCTTCCTGATTTCACTCCTGATGCCTGAGCAATATATTTATACTCCTTCCTGGTCATTTGTCCAATCTTCCACTTCCTGTTAGCTTCTTTTTCATGTTTAAGATCAGCAAGTATTTCACCGTTAAGCCAAGCTGGTCGCCTTCCATATTTACTATTCTTTCTACACATCGGGATGGTTTGTCCCTGTAACCTCAATAAGGATTCTTTAAAATACAGCCAGCTCTCCTGGACTCCTTTCCCCCTCATGTTATTCTCCCAGAGGATCCTGCCCATCAGTTCCCTGAGGGAGTCAAAGTCTGCTTTTCTAAAGTCCAAGGTCTGTATTCTACTGCTCTTCCTTCTGTCAGGATCCTGAACTCGACCATCCTTTAAAGCAGAAATGTCCTCACTTCCCTCAGATACAAGAAAACACATATCTACTGTCATAAATATAAAGGGAAAGGGGTTAAGAAGCTCTGATACAATACTATAAAATCCTTTTACCTGTAAAGGGTTAAGCAGCTCAAGTAACCTGGCTGGCACCTGACCAAAATGGCCAATAAGAGGACAAGATACTTTCAAATCTGGGCTGGGGGGTAGAGGCTTTGTCTGTCTGTCTGTGTGATGCCTCTGCCGGGGACAGATGAAGAAAGCAAGCAATCCAACTCCTTTAGAATTAGTAGGTAATCTAGCTAGAAAATGCGTTAGATTTTCTTTTGTTTTTGGCTTGTGAAATTTGCTGTGAATGTGTATCCCTGTTTTTGTGTCTTTTTGTAACTTAAGGATTTGCCTAGAGGGATTCTCTATGTTTTGAGTCTGACTGCCTGTAAGATTATCTTCCATTCTAATCTTACAGAGTTGTTCTTGTATTTTTTTTGTTCTTCTAATAAAGTTCTGTTTTTTAAGAATCCGATTGGGTTTTTAGGGTCCTAAAAACCCAAGGCTGGTCTGTGCTCATCTTGTTTATTCTCAAGCCTCCCCAGGAAAGGGGAAGGTGTAAGGCTTTGCGGGATATTTTGGGGGAAGAGTCTCCAAGTGGTCTCTTCCCTTTTCTTTGTTAAGTTGCTTGGTGGTGGCAGCATACTGAATCCCAGATACGGGGAATTTTCTGTCTTGGGAAAGTTTTAACCTAAGCTGGTAGAAATAAGCTTAAGGGGTCTTTCATGCGGGTCCTCACATCTGTACCCCAGAGTTCAGATTGGGGAAGGAACCCTGACACCTACATACATTTAAAAATATTGTTTGTGACCAGCCTTGGAAAGTGTTCCTGGGAGAGAACCTCAGTATAGCTCCATTGGCTTCAATGGAACTCTGACAGTTTACCCCAGCTGAGGACAGATGTCCCCATATGAGGTCAAAATGAACAAAATTACAGGTCTGTGTACTCCACAAGTACAAAGTATTATTAAGTCAAGTCATTAGCACAGTTGGAACTATAATCTGGGGTTTACTTCCCAATCGCATGCTTAATTCATCAGCCCATGGGACATGGGAACTGTTGCTGCTGCCGCCGCCAGGTTTTCCGTCTTCACAAAAGGGACTTTTCGATTGAAATGAGAACCCTGGTGCTCCCACACAACATGTTGAATGCTCCAGCTGGAAATAAATTGAGCTATAAGTGGATTTTGGAAACCAATCTCCTGTGGTCCTCTGAGCGCAGGTCCTTACAGGTTAGAACAAGGGTCAGCACACAGGGTGCAGTTTCAGAGTCACATACCCCTTCCTGCAGCCATGTCCTGCTAAACTGAGGAACTGCTTCATAGTCAGTTGTTTGAGAAAACACTTCTGCATCCCCAGACAGGATGCAGACACTATAGTTTCCAGAGAGACTCATTGTGGTTAGTCTGTAGGCTGGTAGATTGTTTTCCTGCTTACTACAGTGTAGTGGGAGCTCAGATAATAAGGTGATTGTTGCATTAGAAATGCATCGATTTGACAGAATTCTTAGAATTATGCAGGATTCTCAGGAATAACAAGTCTTTGCAATTCTGTAGCACCTTCCACTCAAGGAGCTAAAATCACTTTACAAATATTAGTTTATTTGGCCTCCCTACACTCCTGTGAAGCTTGCAGCCAAGCCAAGAACATGTTTCCTGATTCCCAGTCCTTTGCCTTAATCACAAGACTACCATCCTTCTTTTATATGCCCTGCTATTTTTGAAATGTGTGTACAGTTGAACTGGCATTGAGGTAAAGCTGAGGGTTCTTACTTTTCTCTCTTCCTTGAGAGATTTTAGAATTTGAGTGGTTTCTTTCTAGTCTAGCTGCATCTGCTACTTGCTTATTACCAAGGTGTAAATGATGTATTTGGAAAAACCGAACCAATAAAACAGAAAAAAGCAATGGTTGGAAAAGGCCAGCTGCTTCCAAGTAAGGCTCCTCTTAGGCAAAGAATACTAACTGAACAAACAGGCATGTAGAAACTGAGAAAAGCATGGAATAGTAATGGACAACACTTAAAGGTTTGTTGGAAGCTAATCACCTCAAAGTGTGGATGCTTACTGTAAACATTTATAACCTTTTGGGTTTGTAAAACTTGGCAAAAAATGTTATAAGAATCATCTCTTTGTCCTTAGTTTACCAGTACTTCCTTCTTCTAGTTAGTACCATGAAAATATCCCCTCTTGCTGTGGATTTTTGGAACCATAAAACAGCAGCAGAAAGAAAACAGTTAAAACAGAAAACATAAAAAGGCTTAACTGCACCTTTTGAACCACATAGGGCATTCAGATCCATGGTTCCAGTTTGACACATTGTAAAGTTTGATTCCAGATTTATCCATGGTTTATAGTGCTCAATATTTTCAAATCCAGAATGTTGGTTCTGACTACTCTCTACCATCACACTGGCCATGGAGATTGTTTGATGATGACACATTCTTGTTGTGGAATTAAGGGAAATTAAAGGAGGAATAATATTCTCTCAGGTATTTGTTATGAGACTACAATTTTGGAAGTAATATTTTCCCCTGGAGAATTGAAACTTTTACAACACATCTTAAGTGGCTTACTTATCCAGGGAGACTCATATGTTTTTCAAGACTGAGTCAAACACCTGATTTCTGTTCCACAGGGTATGCAGGTTCCCATTGTGAGATTGATGTAAATGAATGCAGCAGTAATCCGTGCTTCTACGAGAGTGAATGTGTGGAGCGGTCCTGGACAACCTGGTATGGACGTATTCTAGAACTGCCAGCAGATTTCAGCTACAACAGAGCATCAGGTTATGTGTGTAATTGTCGCCCAGGATTCACAGGTAAACCTGTTGGGAAAAACTGAAGATATAATCTGTTACAGTATCCTATGGTTTAGAATAGAGTTACATGTTGTATAGGCGACATAGTGCAAAGGGTCCCCCTGGTGGTCATAGTAAATATGGATTTTTAGCAGAAATATTGAGGGCAAGGCTCCCAATTCTACAAGATAAAAAAAGCTGCCACACACTTCAGTGACAAAGCTACTTAAGAAAAGCATCAGGCTACTTAATTTAAATGAATGGGTAATTACCGAGGGACTACTAATTTATTAAAAAAGGAGTTGTGAGGGTAGCAAGTTACCAGGAGTTGCTAAATTTGATATCCAAACCAATCCCTGAGCAAGGAGACAGAAAGAGAGACTTTGTGTCTTCTGCATTTTTGTGCTTGGAACACTGTTGCTCTTATTGCATGAGTTTGAATTTTACTAAAAATTCCTTTTGGTAGGGTCTTCTTTTCTCATCTGTTTGGGGATCACTGTGCACACTTATAACATTCCACAGTGGGCATTTTTGTAAATCAGACATGAAGTAAAAATTCTACTTGACAAGTTTACAATTTCTCTCTCAATCTCTGCAATCCTAATGCACTCCATATTGTAAAATCTAGGTATCAGTGGTAACCCTCCCTCACAATGACCCAAATGCAACTCCGTTGATACATGTAACATGTAAGGCACTGGTGAGCTTCTACATCTTAAATGAAAATTAACTTCAAAGGAGTTTGTATGTTTAATAAAAATCTTTTAGTGATAATCATAATTCTATAATAGAAAGGTAGGTCTGTCCTGAGATTCATGTTCAGTTATCTAACGTATTAATCCTTTAAAAAAGCCCAGCAGTGTAAGGCTATGGATCTACAGTCTGGCCCTGTCAACTCCACTCTCCTATTCCCCAAGAAAAAAGAATGAGTCTTTAAAAACAGAAGGGATGAATTTTACCTATCTTCAATTTGACATTCCGTTCTCCTCCTGAGTGGTTTATAAAATCTGCAGTGTCCTCCAGTGGGTAGCATGACTGACCTCTCTGACTCAGCAGGTACAGAAAATGATTTTTCTTCTGCAATTCTCTTCCTCTGTCTGTCTCTCTGGATTTTGGATGGCTTTCTACAGAGTGGTCATGTGAGCCTAAATGATTCTGCTCCATTCTTTTCCCTTAACTATCCTTCCCTGTCCTGTCACCAAGTATTGCTATTGCACTTTGTTCTGTCTGAGGCATCCATCCCTCCCCCTGTATATTCAGCACCCTCACTCTCCTCCCAATCCCTCCTCTATCACCTTGCATCCCATCCCCACCTTGCATCCCTCAGCTCTCTGTTCCTCCCTGATTAGCCTACTTTAAAAATTCACATACTGTTCAATATGGCTCCCATTCTTGTTCTTTGGTTTAACCTTCATCCCTCCCTTCCCTACCACTCTCTTTTGCCTGTTCCCTTCTGTCAAGGTTCCTTCCCCACTCCGAACTCTAGGGTACAGATGTGAGGACCTGCATGAAAACCTCCTAAGCTTACTTTTACCAGCTTAGGTTAAAACTTCCCCAAGATACAAACTATTTTACCTTTTGCCCTTGGACTGCCACCACCAAACGTTTATCTGGGTTTATTTATTAGGAAAGCGTTGTTTGGAAACGTCTTTCCCCCCAAAATCCTCCCAACCCTTGCACCCCACTTCCTGGGGAAGGTTTGGTAAAAATCCTCACCAGTTTGCAGAGGTGACCACAGACTCAAACCCTTGGATCTTAAGAACAATGAAAAAGCATTCAGTTTCTGGAAAGAAGGATTTTAATAGAAGTAAAAAGTAAAAAAGAATTACCTCTGTAAAATCAGGATGGTAAATACTTTACAGGGTAATTAGATTCAAAACACAGAGAATCCCTCTAGGCAAAACCTTAAGTTACAAAAACATACACAGACAAGAATATCCATTCTATTCAGCACAGCTTAATTTCTCAGCCATTTAAAGAAATCATAATCTAACGCATTTCTAGCTAGATTACTTACTAAATTCTAAGACTCCATTCCTGTTCTGTCCCTGGCAAAAGCATCACACAGACAGACTCAGACCCTTTGTTTTTCTGCCTCCTCCCAGCTTTTGAAAGTATCTTGTCTCCTCATTGTTCATTTCGGTCAGGTGCCAGCGAGGGTATCCTAGCTTTTTAACCCTTTACAGGTAAAAGGATTTTTCCTCTGGCCAGGAGGGATTTTAAAGGTGTTTACCCTTCCCTTTATATTTATGACACCTTCATATGTCAGGTTTGCCTGATTGAGGCTCTGATTTTGCCAACCTTACTCCCCGGGTAGTCCAACGAAAGTCAATGGGACTACTTACAGGGTCAGATACTGCTCAGTATGAAGAAGAATCCAGCCCTTACATCAGAAACTCTCTAGGGACGGGACAGTATATTTTGTATTCTCTGTAAAGTTTGGCATTATGTGAATGTTTAACAACAATAAATAATAATAGTTGCTGATATCTGCTCTGTGGCCTAGATGACATTGGTGCTTGGCAGATACTCTCTTCCCTACAAAAGCTTTGAGCAAATGCTAAGTCTATTGCACAGCTGTATAATTCCTGTGTGAGTATATGCAATATGGGCACATGGAATATAACACGTTTTCAATAGTTAGGATCCTAAATCCATATTTAGGCACCAAAATTCATTTTTCAAAAGTGCTGAGCACCCAGAGCTCCCATTGACTGTGTATGAATTTAGGAGCATCACTTTAGACTGTTTTTGAAAGTCCTTGCTAAAGTGTTTATATTATGTAGTCATCCTGTAGAATGTACCATGGGGCAAAAAAGCAAGTCAGAACGAACAGAATCACTCTTTGCACTCAGTGTGATAGGGGACTGGCTAGACACAGGAAGAAGGTATGTGTAATAAGAAAGGTTGCAGAAACTGCTGCTGAAGAACCATTCAGCAGCCACATGTTGTGCGAGGCAGTGGCAAAACAGGTTTATTCTCGTTACTCAGGACAGTTCAGCTGCAGCATCTGGTTCTCAAAGTGGTCCAGCTTTTAGCCACTTTCCTAGCTGGATTGGCCAAGGTACAAGGAGGTCAAGTGTCTTGCTCCAAGTCACACAGTAAGACAGCTGTTCTGCTGGAACTGGATTGTAGGATCCCCTGGGCAACCAGTGCTTTGCTCTAACAACTAGAGAAAACTGTCTGCTGGAGTTAGAGATAATGCAGTGAGACTGATTTGAAAAGGAATAAAATCTGAGTTAGTGCTGATGAATGTGGTGCCCTTAGTTGCAGTGCTAGTAACCACACCAATTCCAGTCTTTTGTGTGTGTGTGTGTACATACCCACAGACACTATAGTCAGAGGCAGAATCTACATTCTATCATATATATATTCTTGAAAATGAATGTACTCAGAATCTGCTTAGTATGTCAAAAAGCTGCTTAGTATGTCAAAAATTCTGATGCTAAAATCTCCATGAGACTAGAATGGAAACATTCACTTCTAGGGGTGGTAAGTCATTTCTCCAATTAGAGCCAGGTACCCAGGCTTTCAAATAATAAATCACACTGTTCAGTGGGAATTAAGGAAGACTGGGGTTGATCAAGGTCTGTAATGGTTGCACTGCTCAGTCTGGAGATAAATCCATAACGAAGTTCACACACGGGAACATATTGGCTGCTGGTTTGTGTATGTGTATATAAATATACGTACAGTTGCCTTCTACAGTATGGAATGTCAGATGCTGTCGTCTGCTTATCAGTTCTATTAACTGGCTAAACTAAGTTGCTTTGGCTTGCTTGTTAAAGTCTGTGTTTTTGGAGCTGAAGATCTTGAGTTCTTCTGACCTTAACACCTAAAGATCCGTGTATGTTTAAGTACACTGTATGCAGCCACAGATCGCTATCAAAGCAAAGGATCAGTAGAATAAAGCCTGTTCTCTTTAATAAATAATCTTATACATTTTATTATACCCATTTTATTACAGTGGAATGTAAATTAAACTTGTGAATTCAAATAGCCAAAAAAACCCACAACACATAGTAGAGCCAAATTTTTCCCTTGAATACATGGCACTACCTGCTAGGGTCAATCATTAGCTGGAGTAAATTGGAATAACTTCAGCAGAGCTACACTGATTTACCCCAGCCAAAGATCGGGTCTCCATTCTTCTATTGGGGCACAGTTTCACCATCCCTTGCTGCAATAAGTCACATGCATGGCAGTGAACATTTATAGTTGTACTCTACTGTCCATTGGGGAGCGGAGAGAAATACCACCATATGTACTGTGAGACTACCTAAGGGTCTGATCTAAAATGAAGTCAACGGGAGTCTTTCCATTGACTTCAATGGCCTTTGGATCAGGCATTGATTTTGTAAATGCTTCTAATATATACCCTTGAAATACCATAGTTAGATATATAAGGTTAAAAGTAAGTGCTGTAACTCAGTGGAAAACTGAGACTCTCTCCTTTTCGAAGGTATGAAATCCCATTTTCTAGCCCAAAGGGTCAGAAGATAATGAACTTACTTCAGGGCAAAATATTGCTCATCTTAGGCCTCAGGACATCTGTGTGGGAGGTAAAGAAAGAAACAGTCTCTGGCAGTATTGACTTTTTGATGGTGGTTGGTTGAGTGAAATAGGTCTCAACTGTACAGTTAAAATTTTGTGTATGGACACTCGTACCCCCCAGAGTTGGAGAGGGAAAAAATCCCCCCTCCCCCATATTTGGATGACTTGAAGCCAGCTAAACAGATCTGAATTAAAATGCACCAAAAAGATTTGCTTCTCAGCTCAAAAGAAGTCTGGGGAATTTAATCCCCAAAGAGGATTTTTTGAGGGAGTTGCAAGTGATTGAAAATAGAAGCTTAAGGCCCTAGGGAGGAGCAAAGTGCCCGCAAAGAGGCTGCAAGGTGCCAAGTAGCTCCTACAAGGTGCTGAGATCATCAGCTCCCTTTTAAGCCAATACACATGGAGGATGCTCAAGTTTCAAGAGGTACCAGCACTTTGTAGGATCAGGCCCTTAGAATGTGGATGTT